GGTTTGAAGCAGAAACTCTAGCCAAAATGCTGTTAATAGCTTATGTAAAAAATGATTAAGGAAACTAGAACATAAATAAGATTGGACCAAAAATAAAAATTTTAAGAAACACTAAAGTTAAACCAAGCAAAATATGAAGTCCAATTGAATATTATATATAAATAAAAAGGTAAACTGAAACTAGTTCTTTTATTTTTAGTCAGGAAGACTGAAAATATTTGATGAAAGATTTGGAGAAAGGGCAAAAAAATACAATTTGAGACATCGATGTTTGTTTCTGAAAGATAGAGTTGTGCAAATAGGCTCAAATTCATTAAAGCCAAAATATCAGAAGATCAGAAATAAAACTGTAGACTTAAAGTCATGTATATTGAAAAGATAATGGTGGTGGTATGAATGAAGAAAGATATTATATAAAGTATTTTGAAAAGGTGCTGAAAACAGAATTTTATACAATTTCTGTATTTAAGGGTCAGGTATGTAAAAAAGCAATTTAGGAAAATATAATTAAATGAGGGAGAACATAAGTAGAGTACTCATAAACAAAAGAATAAAGATTTTAAAAAGTGGTACACCTGTTTCTCTCAAAAGGACAAATGATATAATGATATAAAAATTTGAATTTCCTAAGTTTGACATGAAAGTTGATTTTGGGGGCACATTAGTTTTTTTCAAAGTGTTTTCTTTAGAATATTAGACTCACATGATATTATATATGTATATGTATATGTGTGTGTTATAAAGAAAGAAATATCCAATTCAAATTGGTTTGAGAAAAGTTATAATTTCTATACCTTACTTGGATTCCCAAAATGCATCCCTGTTTCAGCACCATAAATATTAAAGAAAAATTATTCAATAACACTTGTTAAAGCACAGTACAGAAGACTTTATTCAGGATCATTGCAATAAGTATAGGAACCACTACCTTGGATCTTACAGTAAGAAAGAGAGATTGGGCTCAAGTCTGAATACAACATGGGCAAATAGGAATTTATAACCAAGAAGCAAGGTGGGGGTCAGTAGATGGAAAATTACTAAGAGGCAATATCAGGGGTAAGAGGGATTCTGTCTAAATCACACTAATAGGATTCTTGCCGAAAACAAGACAGGGTGATCAAACATCACCTGGGGCATGGTGGAAAATGAGGAATCTGAATGCATATTAAGGATGATCACATATCAAGGATGGAGGGTTCTATGTAAACTGAATTAGCAAAGTTTTTGCTAAAGTTGATTTTATAAGGAAGTGTACAGATAAGTCTAGTAGAAGATTCAGAAACCTGACTAAAGTTTGGCAAAGCAAAGAATCTTTGTAAATAGCCCCCCTACAATAAAGAATGATCCAGTTCAATAGTGTCAAGTATGAGAAATTCTGTCCAAATGATATGGATGGCATCACTTTTCAGATTTCATTTCCCAGTAATCCTTTACCCCACCACTTATTCACTCCACTCAAACATCCTGGCCTTCTCTCTTTCCTCAGATACACTATGGACAATCTTGCATCCAGGCCTTTGCACTTGTTTTTGTCTCTTCCTAGAACTCTTATCACTTAGACATCCAAGTACCCAACCCCTTATTTTCAAATCTTTGTTCAAACACCATCTTCTCAGTCAGGCTAACACGGACATACTCCTTAGAACTACAAACTATCCCCCAGCCCCAGTACTGCCAATCTTCTGGGATGACTTGTTTATTTTTTCATAGCCCTTAACATAATCTAACATACTATATACTTAACATACAGTTATGGTGGTTATTGTTAATTTTTTGTCTCCTTCTAAACTCCCAGAAGAAAGACATCTGTGTTTGCTTTGCTTGCTGATTTATAGCAAATATCTGGCAAAACTAGATACTCAATAGGTATTTGTTAACTTTACTAATTCAGTTTTCATTTCATTTATTTTATTTCCAAGGAAATTTAGAGTACATTTTTATAAGTTTATATGGAAAAGTGGCAATTTTTATGTTCCATCTGGGTTGGCCTGATCTGTGGCTAAACATATTCTTGTTTCTTTGTGTGTTTTTACTTCTCCCTGCAGAGAGATGAATTTCCTAAAATGACATTACAGTCTTGTGTTTTCTATTGTTTATAGGGGGAGGACAGGGAACTACAGAAGGTTAAAACAAGAGATCATTAACTTCTTAAGGGTCAACAAAAAAAGATTAGAATCCAGACCCATTCTTACTCATTATTTAGTACTTTTATATCTTTTAAATAACCCAGTGTCTTAAAACAGTTGTCCGAAATTTCTCCATTTACATATTTATATCTCAGTAAAACAGCGTGATGTAGGTCATTACTACTACAGCAGGAGACAACGCATTTGGATATTGGAGACTGATTAGTTGCTATGCTGTGCTTGTTAACATGCAGACCCTTGAGTGAAGATTACATTTGCATATTTCTTTTCTTGTCCAGGATGACACACTTTTCTCTTTGCCTGCCTAATACTATTATCATGTTTGAACATTCTTGTCCTGGGAATTAATTTTTCACAGGTCTTTCTGTTTGCTCCACTTTTTTACTCTATTTTTGATTCTTTTTAAATTTATGTTTATATAATTCTGTCATTAGCTAGTTAATTGTTCAAAACAGCATTTTCTCTAATTTTTTTGTTTTTTTTTTACTTTGGGTTGAAATCCTCAGAGAGAATATGGTTAAGATTTGACCATGAGATGCTTTGCTGTTATTAATATTTATGATTTACACTATTCTCTCTGCTCCATTTCATATAACATGCTTATTACCCTAAACATTTAACAATTGTATATTTTTTCCAAACACTTTCTACTCCAAACAAATGTCACTATGCAGCTGTTGTCAAGCATAATATATATTAATCCCAACAATACAGAAATATTTTACACGAATACACAGAAAATGCTTCTGAACAGGATATGTATATACAAATATGAAATATATAATGGAAGGCTTACATTTTAATGAAAAAAATGTAAGGAAATAAAAGGAAGGAAAAATAAAAAAGTAAATTTAAGAAAACTTCAAAAATAAGATACATGTTTTAAGGGGAAGAAAACAATAAATTTAGGGTTATAAGATGATTTAATGCACTTCTTGCTCAGATGGTGGATAAGTTCACCCTCTAATGCATTCTCTTTGTTCCCAACACATAACAATGCTAAGAAAATACAACAATAGAAACAAGACGTTCTCTAAAAAACAAGATAATTATCTTCTTTGTTCACATAATTAAAAATAACCTTGAAATAATATATAGAGTCAAGGCTGTCAGTCTGATTTTCTTTGGATTTTGACATGGATGCTGATCTTTGGGTTTTGATTCTTACCAGTCAAAGGATGCTGAAATTGTTCCACTTCAAAAGACTATTCCCAAGAATAAAAGAGGATATTTAGACTAGATTTGGAAATTCTAACACAAGACAATAATTCTGGAAGAGAACAAAAGAAACGATGGTGGAGTTGCTGAAATCATTACTTTGATTTTCCAGAGCACTCCTCCAGTCAAAAAAGCACAGGCCAAATATCAACAACAATAAATAAAATAAATAGAAGTCAAACATAAAATAACTACAAAACATCAAAGATAAACAGAAAATCTTAAAGGTTACCAGGAGAGAAAAACCGATTTTCTACAAAGAACAACATTTGACAGAGAATAGTCAATACTAGTAGCACATGCCAGGAACAATAGAGTTATATGTATTTGCTGGGGGAAAATACCTGTTCTGAATTCTTGAGCCCATGACTATCTTCCTTCTTTAAATTCTTTAGCATTGAATACATAAGATTTACTTGTTTACTAGTAAGTATTTTCTATGAATAAAAGTCAGTCTCAACAATTTGCAAACAACCATGACATTGAATTTGTAATTCTATGAGGTAGAAATGTGACTGTTGAAAGACCAGTTTGTCCATGTGAAACGGTAAGATAGTGAGTGACATCTAGTTTTCAATGTGGCCCAGCAATTCTTACCCTGCCCATGCTTATGCTTTAATGGTAGATGAAAATTTGCTTTGGGGACTTATCTCCCAAATCACTGGAAATATAAATAAATGCCAAGGCTGTGCTATACTTTCTACATGTCATGGCACATACCAATGAATAATATATCTTATCTGAAGAAGGCAATAATTTAGTTATTTATGTGAAAGTGTCATTTGAGGTATAAAATGCTATATGTGCAATATTCTTGTTCTTTTGTTGTTTTGATAATTTGCTGGACTCTCTCAAGAGATAATACATTTCCCGGGTTTACAAGCCTGATTTATTGGGACTACAGTGAAGGAAATTCATAAATCAGTTAAAGTCTAGTCTTTAAATTACTTGCACCTGAAACATCTGCAGATTCACCATATAAGTCACCCCACCAGGCAAAGAACCACGAATAACTGAGACGCTTGTTAATGCCTAAGGGAAGATGGAACTGGTAGCAGAATAAAATAGTTATAAATACCAGCTATGGCTATACTGGTTCCAGAATCAAGGCTTGTAATAGGTATACATATTTATTCCTTATTTTAATATATGTTTGTTATATGTTAGGCATTTTTTTCATTCCTTCTCTCAATCCCTTGACATCTAACATAATATATCTTAATAGTAGTTAATTGTATATCTTCATAAATAAGTTAGTGAGAATATTAATGAAAGAATGTGACTCAGCAAGAATAAACATCTATAAAGAGAGATGAGAAAATGGTGTATCCTTCTCCTTTGAGAAGAGTTGATATGTTTTCAGTTGTGCAAGAATGATTGCATTATATTAGGCAGAAGCATAACTTTGTTATTGTCTTAATTTGAATCTAAGCATGGTCAAGTAGTGTATATTTATGTCAGATTGACAAGGAGTTAACCTTATTGAATTTGTGGCATGTTAATTTAGCTAGGGTATGACTACATTTCTCAAAATGGAAAATAACTGCAGGTTAGTTTCAACCATAGAAAATATTTTGTACCAAATTTTCATGACAGGAAAAAAGCATCCAAGAAGCAGCAGCCATATCCTTTTTATATTTAGAAACTCGGCAGGCACAGAGCACCAGCTGCTCGTACAGCACATCCATGTTCTACTGCATGTTGATCTACTACTGCACTCCAGGACTTCAGCAACTCCAGCTCAGGGTTTCTGAATCCTGGACCACCATATTCCACTCTCAGGGCAGCTGTTGAGTCCATAGCCCCTTCAAGTTCTCCTCTTCCTAGGTCAGGTATGTGATAACGGGCACCAACCTCTCTGGTAGATTGTTATTTTGAAGGCTCATAGAAAGTCAGAGAGCAACAGTTTTCAGCTTGCTATCACAGGTTCCAGTTTGTTTATATTCCTCCTCACTTTCCTCTTCATATCCAAATTGTCTTTCCACTTCACCCTTGACTGTCTACCCAGCCCCTACAGGGCCAAACATAGAGTAGAATGTGACCTGTTTAATGAACTCTCCCAGTAGCATATAGCTAAATTCTTACAGAAAAACCCTTAGTTTATATTATACTTAATAGTTTTACTTCTCTGATGAAGCCTGACTGACACAATTCTAGAAATTCAAATGATGGAGCAATTATGTTATACAATTAAGTAGTGTGGGGGTATATGTGAACATGTGTGTGTATTGCCCAGTTTCCCCCTTTTGTTGCTTTGTGGGACACTCTCAGGAGTTTGTGCATTCCATGTTACTTGAATGAGTCAAGTACTGACATACTGGGGATCTTTTGAAAAATCTTGATAATGAATATACCCTCAAAGTGAGGTCTATAGATCGCCTGCATTTAAATCATCTCTCATCTCTGATGTTTGATACATTACAGAATCTAGACTGGAAATATATATAAAATTCCTAATTCATCTACCTATTCACTGTGCAACTTAACTTCTGGGAATTTTTCTTAGTATATAGTACTTCAACTTACAAAATGACATTTGTTTGTTTTTTGCATACCAGAATTGTGATCAGAGGAAAGCACTGGAAATACATAAAGTGTTCATTAGTAGAGCCTTAGATAAATACAATATGATAAACTATAATGCTATGTTCCTGGAATAAAGGTAGAGGAAGCAATCTGCCAACTATTATAGAAAGATAATCAGAATGTATTAAGTAAAAAAAAGAGGTAAATGTACAATAGTGTATATAAAGTACTGTATGTTGTATAAGAGAGTGGGGTAAGAATTTATAAATATATTTGATTGGATTTGAATAATGTCTTAATTATCTAAAATTCTTTAATTCCATGTTTGTTCAAGTTGCATAAACAAAAATATATGCACACATGTGTACACATGCAGACATCATTGCTGTATAATATAGCAGACACTTTTACACTGAGCTCATTTCATATACCCAGTCTTCACCAACATTATCATACTGCTGTCTCTTTTACTTTTCCTCGAATAATGAAAATAAAAGAATTCTTATTCAAAAAGGAAAATAAAAGATATCTGACTCATCCATATTATTTAGGTATGGTTTTCATTTGTATAATGCTTTATGTTTCACAAAATAGTCTAACAAAATTATTATAATTTGATCACCACTATAGTCCTAGTAGTCTGTCTTCCTACTCAACATAGAGAAAAACTGGTATTAGCACACATATTCCCATTGCCTGATACCTTCTGCAATCCCATTGCCTGATTTCTTCTCTCACTTTTGAGTTAGTTCTCTCCTAACTAAATTTTTGCAGAAAAGCTTTTCTTGACACAATATCTAAAATAAAATACCCTGTTAGACCCATTTTATTAAAGATTCCATACCTACCTGATATTGTTTTTTACTCTTTTTTTCTTTTTCGTTATCATCAATTTCCACAAAGTTCCATCAAGGCCCAGGCTTTTTATGTTTATCTACTGTCTTATCCCCAGTGATTAAAAGAATGCCTGAAATAATATGGAAACAATAAATATTTGTTATGAATGAATGAACACTTCACTTTCATTCAAAAGTGAAAAAATACTGGACATAAGTTCAGACCCTCGCCCAAAGACCTGTAAAACCATGTACTTCAAAGAAATTAAAAATTAGTCCTAGAAAATGATGTGAAATATAATAAACAATACTTTAATAGATATTAATATAAGAAATAGACTATTTTAAATTTTTGATGAAAAGATTATTTGAGGTATGGATGAGACCATGTAAAATAGTTTGGGAGAAAAAAAACCCAGCAAACTCCACTTTTGTTGGAGAAATTGATAATTATATATGTATAATTAAATAAGTAGAGATAACTACAAAAAAAACGGGGAGCCATGTGATCTATATTTTCTATATTAGAAGAGGAAAAATGGTAAGATAGAAAAATGAAATAAAATAGAATAACCAAAAATTAATTCATATGAAAAGCACAGATTAAAATGGAATCAGTAAATCTAAATATATCAGTAAACAAAACAAACAAAAATGATTTAAACTTACCTTCTAAAATTCAGTTATGATCAGAATGGATTCAAACTAGAAAGTTGTAGGTTTTTAAAGAAACTAGTATAAAACACAACTATCAGAAAGTATAAAAATAAAATGTAGAAAATATCTTCCAATAAATAAGGAGATATGACATACCCACGTAAATTGAACTGTAAATACTTTCATGCTAAATAATCTCTCACCATCCAAAGCAAAACTAATAGAATTACCATAAATAAATAAAAACTACAGTAATAAATATGTGATTTACACACAACTCTCTCAGAAACTGATAGTTCACCTAAACACAAATATCAAAAGTATAGAGAAGATTGGAATAGCAAAATCCCAAGATTGATCTCATAACTCTATATTGACTCATCATCTCCAAAAATAAAGAATATAATTTTTTTCCAAGAACACATAAAATACCTAACAATTTAGCCACTCTTTTGATTATAAGGAAGTTTCCATTCTTTTCTGTAAGTATTAGTATCCGATGATACTGGAATTAACTTTCAAATAAACCATAAAAGGGAAAAAACCTTCAGAAACTTTAAAATATAACTTTCTTTTTAAATATCTTCTTTGTGTAAAATGTATTCAGAATGGAATTCACAAAACTGAATAACAAAAACTTTTGTTTTGAAGGTAAAGTGGGACTGCTTATGAACTTATGGTCTTAGAGACATGTAGGTTTTTAAATGGTTGAAAGTAAATGAGTTAAACTTTTGGTTTGCAGTATAGAAAAAAAAATGGCACGGGGGAAAAAATAAATACAAAAGCTTTTCATAACTACTGGAGAAGTGAACAATGCCTGTTTTTCTTATGAAGGGATTAATAAGACATGACATCTTTATTTCAAACTTCATTTGAATTTGTTGCAAGAAACCCAAAGCAAACAGAAAAATCCTCTCATATTAGGACGTAATGAATCTTTTGTGTTGATTGATTTTATATACTGAATTAAAAAGTTTATAAAATATATTAGATTTTATTTGGCAGTATATTTTGGATTTTATTGAATAAAATGAGCTTCTCAATATACAACATCAGAGCCATAGAAATAAAATTTGGAACTTACACATTGCTAGGCATTTTCATCAAAAAAATATTCAGTTTATGATTTTTCTTGTTAAAATGTTTGAAATATTTCTCTTTCATTTTAAAAGTTTCTTCTTTTTTTTTGTTTTTTGCTTTAGAGTACAATTTTTGGTGCATACATAATACTGTTTCTCATAAGCAAAGATGATACTAAAGATGAAATAGTGGGATAGTGGTAGGTCATTTACATTGAAAATGCTTATTTGTTCCCCAAAGTATATATTTAACCAATCCCTATTCCAACAAATCATCCTTTCCTCACTGGGACAATGCTAAGCAGCAGGAACCTTGGTAGCCAACCTCTGGGATAGCTCACAATGATCCCTGCCTCCTGGTACTTACTCCCTTGTAACTCCTCCCAAATTGTACCTGAGTTTTCCATGTGACCAAAAAACATAAGAAGGAAGTGATGGTAAGTGAATTCTAACGACAGATTATTACAACAAGAACAACAACAACAAAACCCATCATTTCACTTTGGGGAAATCTGCAACTATAAAAAATTTCTGCATATACTTCCTTTGTCTGTCTCAGAACTCCTCGGTTGAAAGAAGCCATATCATGGAAAGCCTTACAAAAGCTCAGGATGGTGTATTATTTGGATGGCATATTATTTAAAGAGATTCATTAAATTTTACTTTTTTTTTCAAAAAGGATGAATTCTGATGGCTCAATTCATGAGGTGAGATGGTTGCTGGATATTTGTATTTGGTTCAGTTAAACTGACTTAGAACTTGGAATTCAGAAGTCAATTTTTGGTATTGCTCAATTACTAAGCAAAAATAGATGAATTATCTTCAGTTTTACCCTGGATTCAGATAATAAGTTTTATGCAATTCCAACTTGTTTCTTGCCGATAGTATCATTCAGTGTCAAGTCGAGAATGCAGAAATCACTCTTGAGTTTCCAAATAGAGAAGAATGTAATGCAGGAAATCAGTTGCAAAGTTGTTAGATGGGCTGGAGAAGCAAAAGGGAAAAGGATTTATCAGCAATTAGGAGGCTGTTTTAGCCCTGGGCTAGAAAGGGATGTGACTCTTGCAGCTGCAGTTTCTGCCTGAAACCATAGCATTGCTGCTGCCAGGAGTTGCAAAGAGAAGCCTGAACTCCTGGGGGCTGCATGGAGATTGCTTTCTATTGGATTCAATTCCTGTTTTAGTTCCATGCTGCCACTGGAATTCTCTAGGTGCAAATGGAGATAGAGAATGTGCTTTTGAGGTTTCCTCCTCAAATATAATACAGAGACAAGCTCAAAGGAGCACAGGAAGCAAACTGAGAGCCAACAGGCACACATGACAGGTCCAGCAATAAATTATATTGAAACAGAGTTATTTTATGGATCATGAATAAAACATATGTGTATGTTTTTTCCTAATAGAAACTTTTTAAAAACAATTTTACATGCAAGTGTAACTAAACATATGGCAGTTTGACCTTTACTTAATTTTTAAGCTTTATCACATTCCTATAGCCTCCTATACATCTGGTTTTTCTCCTCAATCCTACAGATATCCGTGCCTAAGCCAAAAAATCCCAGAGAAACAGGAAAGAGTCATTTGGGAAGCAAAGCGCTCAACCTTCTAGGTAATTTCCATGAAACACATGTTCTTCCTCTTGTCTAAGATTAATCCCATCACCCCTGCTCTGTATCTCATAATCTTGTTCTTCTCGGGGACCTCCCTTTACCTATGTTAATTCAGTTATTCACCATGTAATCATATTGATCGTTCCCTCTTCTTTTGGTTCCTGCCTACATATAAACACTTTAAATTTTCTCCGACCATAAAAATTAATATTTGACCCAAGATGCCAATTAGTTACACTCCTCTCTATTTCCATTCAAATGAGTTTGTTGAGAATTTTGCATAAACTCCCAATCTCCACTTGCTTACTTCTTATTCTTGCTTACTTCTCATTCCCTCTATCAGTTTGGTTTAGTATTCATCTCCACTACTACATTGAAACTACTTTAGGAATGAGGTTCACCAGTAACCTCATTGTGTTATTGTTTTGCCCATCACAGTGAATATGTCACTACAGCTGTTGGTACTTTTAGCTCAAGTTCTTCCTTTTGTAGATATCTTCTGTGATCTCTTTGAAAAATCACTCTGCTGTTACTCCTTTCTGTGTTTGTTGATTCTTCTCATGTGTTCCTCTGGGTTTTGCCCATGTCATAAGTATTTACCACTGAATATTCTTCAAAGAAATCTCATCCCATCTTGTGACTTGAACTAGTAGTCTATGCCAGAAATGCCTCAAGCTATATCCTTGGTTGGTGAGTTTCAAATTACAATATCAAATTGTTTTCAGCATATAAACAACCTACATGTCACAGAGATGTTGCTCAACACGATATGCTAAAAATGGAGCTTGCTATTAAATCTCTACAAATCTTCCCATCCAAATGTACATCACTTCTAAATGAACAGCAGCACCATTCTCTTAACTCTGAATACCATGAACTTTATTGACATCAACGTCTTCATGATTTTTATCATCCACGTCATTCTGAAACCGAATCTTATTTATTCTACCCCTTAATATTTAACAGAGCCATATATTTCTTGGTATCCTTACTGCTAATAACTTATTTTGTATTATACTATGGACAATGTTTTGCATAGTCTCTCTGCATTCAGTCTCCTCTTCCTCTAATACATGAATGATATTTGTGAAACATAAATACAACTGACAATTACCACCATTATTTTCCTCCATTGACTATAGAAACCATTTGATATCAAGCTCAAGTTCATTAGCTCCTAAGAGTATCATGGAAGAGACTGGATTCTTCTTTTTTCCTTATCTTCCTGTTATTTTCTCTTGAGTACTTTACACTTTGATACTCTAGTCACTCAAGTAATGCATGCTCTGAACTTCACACATCCTGCCTTCTTATTTTCCCACCTTCTTTCCTGATCTCTGTACCTAAAGTCACATTCCCTGCCAGTCCCTCAGGTCAGGAATTACCTTCCCCTAGAGAGTAGAAAACATTACCTTCCCCTAGAAAATATCTTGACCTTCCCTTCACCTCAGGCTGATAGTTGCTCTTCTGCAGAATTTTGTTTATGATCCATACTAACTTTAAATAAATTTTATTACAGATTTCTGAATATTCATTGATTCTAAGTGCCTTGAAGAGATTCTATATTTTTGATATTTGAATTAATTTCATGACCTAAGAGAAAGATTATATAATAGATGAATAAGTAAGTGAAAGAACGTATATTGAATTAATTCAACTTATGTATCAAATGCTTGCAAACTACTGAGCCTTGTGCAGGTGTTGGGATCCCAGGATTGAAGAATTCAGACTCATTGCTGGTTTTCTTATCTATTTTATGCATAAGACTACATACTCTTTGAAAGCAGAATGAGGTTTATCAATTCTATACCTTATACCATTTAATAGATAACTTCTGAAAGACAGAAAAACTGAGATAACTTTTGCAGTTACACATCCAACTTGTAAAGAGTATTGCTTTTGATATACTCCACTTTCAGATTAAAGGTTCTTAACATTCATTTCTCCTATTATAAAAGAAAAGATCTATTACTAATCCTATAATCTACTTTAGAGTGTCCTAGGTATCTAAAATAGTCCTCTATCCTAATATCAAGGGTGGCCTCAATTTTCTTTGGTCTTCTAAGACTGATATCCTTTTAATGAACAAAATGGCTTTATGATCTAAAAATAAAGGGTATAGGTTAAACATAATTCTCAAATATAGAAGCTAGGAGATTAGAAAACATTAGGAACAAGTGTGCTGGGATTTACTAATGAGTCATCTATATTTATGAGCCAGTTTGTCATAACATCAATAGGAAAGTGGTACAGACTTTATTGTGGTGAATAGAATATAATCTTGCTAAATTCTGTGTTCCAGATTTTTTAAGGTTTTATAGAATTCTATAGACTTCAGACTAATAGAGTAAAGACAAAGTAAGGATTTATGCCATTTTATTATAGAAATGACATAAGAAATAGAAGACATAAGAATGACACTAATTAGCAACAACAACAGCAACAAAAATGGAGATATGCCTTTCCTCACCTCAGCAAATAGTTTAAATAGGTCAATGCCATGTACTTGGTGAATACGTAATGTTACATTTTAAAATATAAATTTGTTTGCTAATTTCTAAGGAATTTGGGGTAAGTTTAACTTCCAAACCAAAAAAAAATTTTTTTTTTGATAATTTGCTTTAACTTTGCTTTACTCAACATTTTTCTGATGTTCAACAGATAGAAGAGAGAAGGCATGATTATTCATGCACTAAATAAAGGGTGTTTAATTACAAATTTAGTTACTGACCTCAAAACCATTATGGTACTCAGTTGAACATAATTTTCTTTCTAATTACCTGAATAAATTGCTGTGTTCATTTTACATTGCTTTTTGATTTCACTTTGCCTATTGTTTGTTCTCAAACCTGACTGACAATATCCTCAAGATGCTTTTCATTGGAGGCATTTCATTTTCTTTGATGGAAATGAATGGTTTAAAGTGATTTTATTCTGTTCTCTCACACATAATAAAAGAGAAAATGACCATCATATTCTGGAAACCATTTTTATAAGATATAACCAGAAATGCTGAAAGAAAGAATGAGGACAAAGTTTTTCAAAAATCCAGCAAAAAATGTGAACTAATTTTCTTTTGAAATTTTGTAAGTAGGCTTCATAGCTGTAGTACAGGCACATACATTTATTTTACTCTATTAAAATATTTTAGCAGATAATTGATAGTTGTCAAATAATTTTAGCATAATTTTTCTAATAATATTTCTTTATAAGATTATGCTTTGGGGATGTTACTGTTAGCAACACCCATCTTCAAGATCCCTGATTCATCAAATAAGATGTTTTATTTTAGAGCTATATAGATTATTTCTTAATGGTCTGCTAACTGGAAAGTAAATAACAAGTTTCTGTCTCTGAGTGTTCATTTCATACACAAATTATTTGTCGATTACCACATGTAAGAAAATGAGTTAAATTCATGTGAAATATGTTTACGTTTAGATAACTACTATGCAATATAGAGTGAAAAATAATTTTTATTGGTCAGAATAGCTTAGTCATAAAATGTATATCTAGAGTGAATTCTCTTTAACCTAGAATATTATTAAACATTTTCACCATAAGTGAGATGTAATGCAAATATTTTACATGCAAAGCACCTGTAACTATTTACCCTTTGTGTTTTTGAAGAAAATAAAACAAATATTGTCAAACTTTCAAGGATAATAAATAAGTGAGTCATATATTTGCTTTTGGTGGACAAAATAAGGCACCAGAAACATCTATGACCTGATCATAGAATGAGACAATTATCATAAGCAAGGAATGACATTCAACCTATTCCTCATATGTGAGCATTCCAGTTACAATCCAAGAGAAGCCAGTGTCATCATATTCATGACCAGTCAAACACAGCTATGTGATGGGAAATTGCTGCACTGTGAGAGGATCCGACCCTGAATGAGGGTAGAGGAGAAGGATAAATAGCTTGTTTTACTAGGCTATCAATAAATTATACTCTTTTTAAATTTTTTTGTATTAAGAAAGCTTAATTTTTGTGAATCATATGGATAAGATAATTCAGGCTATTTTAAATTATTTAAGCCATGTTAATTTTCAGTGGTATCAGTCTTAACAATTGTAAGTCAATACCCTAGAATTTAATTTTTAAAATTAGTTATATAAATGATAAACCTGGTTCAGACCCATTGACTGAAAAAAAAAAAGTAAGAAAAAGAAAGAAATTGAAGTCGAAACCAAAAGCACGCAAATACCAGAAGTCAGAAAAATTCATGTAGAAAGATGTTCACCATAGATTATTTATTTAAAATAAAAACCTACAGAAGCAATCAAGATGCCCAATAGCAGAAAATAATAAGTAGATAACATATGATATAGCCATTGCATGAAAATATATGAAGATTATAAATATTTT